GAGAAAAAATATGAATTGTATTTTTTTTGGTTCTATGTATTATCGCCGAGCAATAAATGCCTTTATATACAAGTTACAAGTAATCAAGCTCCTTACAATTAAGTTAATCGAATCCTTTATCAAGATCCCTACAATTAAGCTAATTAGGATAGCTAATCGGGATCGGGATTAGGATCCCTATAATTAAGCTAATTTATGAGAATTATTACAATTAAACTGATGACTATTGTTTAGATAACAAAATTGTAAAGGGAAAAAAGTATTATCTAATTACAAGATCACAATTCACAACTATTATATTGATTTAAAGGGAAAAAGGATACTATTAGTCCCTAAGAATCATCTGATTCTCGATGGAGTCTAAATATAATTTCTTATTAAATTCCCATCTATGACATATTGTCCAAAATATATCCAAAATAACTTGTCATTTAAATAAATGGCAAAAATGATGTAGCAAAGATAAACATGTTGATTTTAATGACAAAAAAATAAGATGGGAGTTAATGAGTAATGTCCAATAGACAGGAGTTCTTGTTGGATTTTTTTTTTTAAATCAAATTTATCCTCTCAACCGAAACAATAGAATTATATTATTACATTAATGTCCAATAGATGAGAATATCTTAGTTTAGTTCTTCACTTATTATTCTATTATCAATTAAATTCTAAACGTTTTGATTTTATCAATTCTGCTTTAAATACAATTTATATGAGGCAATATCATAATTCCATTCACCATTTTTTTAATAGTTAAAAGATTCTATCAAATTTGCAGGTGCTTATTAACGGCTTCATTCAACATGTCCTAATTGATAACTTTATCTCAAATTATAGTAAATTTTTTTCTATTTCCATTCTTCACTAGCTTGTCTAAAAAAATATATTACTATAATTTGGTGCTAAAATTGTGTTTTTAGACATATTAGGGATTTTTTTTTTCGTTTGCATCTTTAACAAAAACGCTTACCGAGTATGTGCAAATTAAAGAAAATATTTTAATTACAACTACAACATATGGATGAAGAGATGACATTGCTTAATGCCAATTAAATTTGGAGTAAAATTAATAAAATCAAATGCATTAGGAATGAATGCATACTAGAATAACACTAAATTAAGGTTTCGGCAATGGAAAAATCACAAGCTACTTTGTTTCCTGCTTGGAACAGCCACGAGCTTGTGCGGATTCACTTGATCATTTAATCAAAGATGGCCAAATTATAATAATAGAGTTCGGTAACAAGAATCCAAAATGCAAAAACCTACGCTCACGAGGAGCCTCAGGCCCTCCCCAAGTAAAGATAAAATGGCCAAAAAGATGGACCAAACCAGAAACCATGGCTAAGCTTCAAGGGGTCCCATTAACTTGTTTCTTGGTCTCAAATTACAGAAAACATTTCCTTATCAAGCGGATAAACTGTTCATTATTTATGGGACATTGACAGGCATGGCTTGGTAACAGGAGAGATGGTACCGGTAGGTGTCATGTGCACCTCCAATGGACCGACCATGACTTGCTTCATGCTTATTTCATTATGTTCTCTTAGTTTCCCATGCGATCCATGTTTCAATATTTGATAAAAATCACCAAGTCTTTGACATAGGCCATGAGGACCTTCTTGCTTATTTTCTTTTTAATTCTTTTATCGTTCTTATTAAATTTAATTTTTAATCATTGAATTAGACTTTATAAATTATTCGGATGGGATCCATGAATTAGAATTTTGAATGAAAATTTAAAATTTAAAGCCATTGAAATATATAAGTTGGGAAATTTTGTAACATGGAAGAAGAGAGCTTGAATGGATTCACTAGGTAATTTTCAAGACCCAAAAAATGGCAAAAATATATTTTTACTAGGAACAATAATGAAAACAAAATGAAATGACATATTTATCCTCAACCCAAAAAACAAATTCTCAATCGGATCCTACATCCATCAAACATGACTAAATTAAGCCTCACCATTAAATTTTGTGCCAAAATCAATGTCGTTTCAAGAAAAACGGGTCCCCGATTGTTACGATTTTTGAAGAAAAAAGAGGAGAGCCGATTGAGTAAAACCCAATAGTAGAGGACTCGATTGAAAATTCTTTTTGTTTGGGATCCAATTCAGAATAGGATAACAATAGGGGGATAAATATATCCTTCGCCACAGATGATAAAGAGTTGACTCGTGGGTTAAGAGCCAGCTAAAAATACTGTTATAGACAAGTCTAATTACTCCTATCGTTTTCTGATAAGAACAGGGGTCTAACCCTCACTCTTGTTGACAATTTTGTGATTCATTAAGATCAACGTAAATATCCCAGCTTATGTCACTGATTCTAGTTTGAAATATCAAATTCATTTCCAAATCCAAATGTCAACCATTTTTCTCACTGCTAGTGAAAAGCCATCATCGTGGTCATGGAGGTCAAAAGCATCTCAAATCACCCGGAGAAAAACGTCCCCACTTAATAAAATTGATAGAGGATCATGATGTGTGCCATTAAAATAGCATTACCAAAAATATTAAATTAATCAATCAATGCCCACATGATTATTCAACTTACTAAGATTAGAATCATAAAAGTAGTAATTATTTCGTCAAAAGTGTAGGACAAAGTTTCCATGTGGGTGACTGATTTCGGATGGTAATTCTCTCTCACCTAACCATATTTATCATCAACTTGCAAAACCATCCAACTTCTTTTTTTTTTTTTTTTTTTAATTAGATCGTGAGTTTGCACCCCAATTGCATCTTCTTTGGAAGGGTGTGAAGGGTACGCGCAGCTTTGTTGCAGTGTCCTACCTCGTGATGTGATGCAATAACAAAAATTATGAGTGCTTATTTTTGGATTCTTACACAAAAATATTACCAAGTGAAAACATTTCCTCGTCCTAAATACTACCCTTAAAGTGGGAGGAAAAGAAAACTAATTTGACACAAGGAGGAGCCTCGTCAAGTCATATCGTTTCTAGTTTTGAGACAGAAGCAAGTGGTTTAAAATCTGCATGTTTTGGAAATGTTCACATCACGAATACATCTTGGTACATGCTTACTTTCAGAAATTTCAATTTTCGTAATTTTGAAAATAAAAATAAAAATAGAAACTACTGAAATATATACGTCCACTTGCAAGTAATGCAAGGTGGATCTTATATATATATATAAAGATTTGTTTGTTTTATAAATAATAAAAAAAAACTAAAAAAGTAACCTTTCGTAAATGCATAAATTTGATTAGTTTAAAAAATATATACGATCCACATTCCACGTTATTTCTAATCTTTAATTTTTAAAATATTGATTTAATAGAAATAAAATAAATAAATAAATGCTTTCTAGAAGACAATTGATGAAGAAAATATTTAAAACATAATCAAAATTGAGTTACAAAATTTTTATGATTTATTGAATAGAATTTCGTAATATTATAATAGTATTGTAAAAATCGTGTTTATTATGATATTGACTAAAAAAAATATAAATATCTAAAATAAATTAATTGATTATGTATCATCATTGTAGTGATATATTTTCTGATGTGTAATTTTTTTATAAAACAACAATATAACGATACTTTTTTTTGCATATAGTTATATTAGAAGTCAAATAAATAATGAAAAAAATTGTTAAATTTTGAATCTTATTTTATGTTCTTAAAAAAATTCTTTTTTTATTACTCGATTCGTTCAATCAAATATAAATATAAAATCTTGATAATAAAATCTAACAAAATATCATCCATTAAACAGTAAATAAATTTATTGAACAATAAATAAATTTGTACTATATATTTTAAACTTCAAATCTTAAAAGATCAGAATAAATTTCCTCGGGAGATCAGTTGCTTAGATATGAAAGATTTAGGAAAGAATTACAAACTTTCTAGTAAAAAAGTAGGGAAAAAAAAAGAAAAAAAGAACTTTCCATAGAAACAGAGCGCGTGGCAATGGCAGAAGACACAAAACAAGAATGTCTTTACGCATAGGGGTCTTCACTCTTCAGTTCTCAGTCTTCTCAAAAAGCCTGTCTGCTCTCACGCGCTGTGACATTAATTAAATAAAATAAATTATTACTATATTATTAAATAACAACAACAATAATACTTTCGCATTTATTTATTTTATCACACATTTATTTTCCTGTCTGCTCTCACGCGCTGTGACATTAATTAAATAAAATAAATTATTACTATATTATTAAATAACAACAACAATAATACTTTCGCATTTATTTATTTTATCACACATTTATTTTCGTTTTCAATTTTATTTTCTCATCTCCTCTGCACTACTCCACTGTCTCTCTCTTAATCAAATCTGTGTGCCCTAGATCTCTCTCTCCACGGTTTTCAATTCTCATCTTACAATACTATTTATTCCCATTCCAGTTTCCATTTTCAAGTTGCATGCTTTATATTGAAGTGTTTCCGGTTCTTTACCTTTTTTTTTTTTTTTGGTAACTTGGGTTCCTTTTTTTTTTTTTTTAATTGGGTTTTTAGGGTTTGTTTTGTAGTGAAATTGTGAGTTTGTTGAGGGTTTTGAATCACCTGATTTGAGAGCTCAAAAGATTAGGCATGACATTTTTATGGTATTTAGTTTTTAGATTGTGATTCTCAATTTGTTGTTGGAGTAAAGGTGATGGTGGCTGTTAGTTTTTGATATTTTGGGTATAACTTTTAGTGTTGTTGGTTGAGGAAATTTCTTTCTTTTTTTGGACTAGGAGTCGGTGGATTTGACAAGCAAATAAAAGTTTCACCGTAAAAGATCAGTCATTGAGTCGTAGTTAAGTATTATGCAAAATTGTGGTCGTTTTAGTGTTCGGTTATTTTAAAGTTCCAATCTGGAGTGAGTGTTTGTTATGTTCATTTGGTGCTTCTAGGAAGTATAATTTGGCTGTGTGAAAATGGGAATGGAAGAAGAGGATAGAAGTGTAAAGATGAGAATTTTGAAGGGTAATTATTGATTCTGAAGGAGGAGCGTGTTTTTGGAGGTGGTTTAGGTGCATAATGGGTAGCGTTTGCTGTAAACCCTCTGCTATTGAGGATAGCAAAGAGAGTCCAAGAGAGAGGCTCTCGAGTAAGGCCTCGTCTGACTTGAGGGTATCCATGGCCACCTCTTCAAGGAGGGAAGAAGCATATAGAGTGAAAGATAGATACGATAATAATGATGGTAGGGCAATGTTGATTGATAAGCAAGTGAATGGGTCTATCAGAGTGCATGGGGGTGAGTACGTTGATAGGAAGAGGGACAAGTCGGAGTATGCTGTTGTTCACCACCCAGGGATGGGCAGCATACCGAAAGCTACTGAAGGGGAGCAGGTTGCAGCAGGGTGGCCTTCCTGGCTAGCCGCTGTGGCTGGAGAAGCAATCAAAGGTTGGTTGCCACGGCGTGCAGATTCATTTGAGAAGCTGGATAAGGTATGCCCTTTTCTTCGTTTTGTTTGTGTTTTAAATCTCATTTTTTATCATTAGAATACAATGACTGATTATCTATTTTTTAAATTAACTTTGTTAAAAAATTCTAAGTTCAATGTTGAGATGTGTTTTTGTAAGCGCTGCTTCATTGTAACAAGATTCACTTTATGATTTCAAAATTTAGCAATTCAAACTGAATGGTTGAAGACATGCTTTTGACACCTCAATTGGTGGATAGTGCAACGAGCAATGTGACAGTTGCAAATTAGAAGGGTAACCTGCTTGCATTTTTAGCATTTTCATGTGTGCACGCATTGGATATGTTGTGTTTTGTCAATTTTATAGCTGTAGCACGAAATCGGCTAGAAAAAATTTGATTTTTTTTTTACCATTAGGTGAAATTAGCTTGAGATCTATGTGTGTGTGCTTGTTATATTTATAATTACAAATAAACATGATGGTGAAATATACATGAAGGAATGCTCATTTGTAACATGCATAAGAGTTACGTAGTGCTCTTTTTTTAACATGCAGAAGAGTAATGAATCATGCAGTTAATGATGGATTCTTTGAACTTGATAGCTTCTAAATAAATGTTAGCTAGAAGTTCAGTTTAGTGGTTGGAACTGGGAGGCCTCTCTCACCTAAAGAACAAAACTTTAATTTACAATATTGTCTAAAGATGTATCAAGGAGCTGCTTATGTGGATGGACGGCTTATAACTTGAAGTTGAAAATGTATTGTTAATTTTACAGACTTACAGCATAAGAAATGCATGCATGTTAACAACTTCAATAGCTGGGGTTTCCTGGACACCCCCACCCCCTTTTGTATTCCGTTTTGGTTAATTTGGATGAACTTGTTCAAACTTCTAGTCTTGAAGGATGAAGTGATTTGCATTAATAGGTTGGTCTAAATGTGCAAATCTATATCCTGCATTCCTGCCCCTTCAACCTTTTCACTCTTTAAGCTAGGGCCAATGGCCAGGTTTGCTGCTGAACATTTCTTGTTTGTATATTGTGGACTTCAATTTGTACATTTTCATGTATAATTTCGAGTAGGTGACAACAGCAGATGATTCTACTTTAATGGTTTGCCAATTCCCCCTTTTTTTATCTGCTGCTGTCCTCTTTGAAATGAAATTACCTGCTTGCTGACTTTTCCCTCATCTGATGATTTCCATTTTAATGCAGATTGGCCAGGGAACCTACAGTAATGTTTACAGGGCTCGTGACCTTGATCAAAAGAAGATTGTTGCTCTGAAGAAAGTAAGATTTGATAACCTGGAACCTGAGAGCGTTCGCTTCATGGCCAGGGAAATTCACATTTTGCGTAGGCTTGACCATCCTAATGTAATAAAGCTAGAAGGTCTAGTTACATCAAGGATGTCATGCAGCTTGTACCTTGTGTTTGAGTACATGGAGCATGATTTGGCTGGGCTTGCTTCACACCCGGGTCTGAAGTTTACAGAAGCCCAGGTAATTATAGCAGTTTGGTTCTAACTGATTCTAATTTAATGTGTGTTTGCATTTTGCCATTACAGGTTAATAGATGCTATTTATGATATTTAAATATTCTATTGTTAGCATCTGCTAGTTTTACATGCTTCTTATCGTCTAAGATCATACTATGTGTAGATTGTCAATTTAAAAGGTAGAACAGGTTTGATTTTTGACTTACGCTGTATGATTTGGATCTTATGGTCTAATATGTATATGCTGGCAGGTGAAATGTTACATGCAACAACTTTTACGAGGACTTGATCACTGTCACAGCCATGCTGTTCTGCACCGTGATATAAAGGGTTCCAACCTATTAATTGACAACAACGGTATCTTGAAAATTGCAGACTTTGGACTGGCAAGTTTTTATGATCCTGCTCATGTTCAGCCACTGACAAGCCGTGTCGTGACTCTTTGGTATCGTCCTCCGGAGCTTCTACTTGGAGCTACCTACTATGGTACAGCTGTTGATTTATGGAGCACAGGTTGCATACTTGCTGAACTGTATGCTGGCAAGCCTATCATGCCAGGGAGAACTGAGGTACCTCTTTTCTATTCTCAAGGGAAAAAATTGTCATTTAAATTCCTCACCAAACAGAGTGTTTCTTTTAAATGCATGCTATTTCATTTGATCATATGCTGCAGTGCAAATTATTTATCATCGGCCATGATTCTGAGTACAATTTTGAACTAATTATTTTCCAGAAACAAATTTTATGCCATGCTAACTGTCTAGATGGATAGTATTTTAAAAAACGAGGGGACTGTTCAATATGAGTAAGAATAGAGTTTAGCATTGTATAAGTTTATTTAAAAAGAGACCACAAGAAAATTCCTAATGTGGGCAGGTTCGTCTGAATTGTTTTATCCTTCTGCGAAGATCTTATAATATGAAAAGAAAAAAAGATTTGACAAAAAGAAAAGAAAAGATTGAAAGAGAGAATATTAGCACATAATGCAGTATCCCTTTTCTGTTTTCTTATGGTCTATGTAAGTTTTATTAACGACATAAGTGTAGCTACATAAAATATTGATGATTAATTTGCTTGCCTCTGCCTTGTAGGTGGAGCAGCTGCATAAAATTTTCAAGCTGTGTGGCTCACCTTCTGAAGATTATTGGAGAAAATCGAAGTTGCCTCATGCAACTATCTTTAAGCCTCAGCAGCCCTACAGGCGCTGTGTTGCAGAAACGTTTAAGGAATTCCCTGCACCAGCTTTAGCTCTTATGGAGAACCTGCTCTCCATTGATCCTGCAGATCGTGGGTCTGCAGCTTCTGCTCTGAGGAGTGAGGTATGAAGTATCCATGGACTGTATTTCTCAAATCTTCTATTGCTCTTTGGGGATGTTGTGTGTGTCGCTGTTAAGATGTAAAGTGATTTCTCAATTTGTTGCAAATGCTTCCCTATATGCAACTCTGTGGTCTTCTTGATATCTCTTTTGTTCGGTGATGTATTGCTTTCAGTTAGAAGATCTTTGATGCACATGGTAGTACATATACTTTAAATTTTTTTACCTTATCATCGTTCCACTAATGCAGGACAGGTTGGAGGCTGTTCTGGGTCTGACTTTGGAGGCTGTTTAGGGTTGTAATCAGTGGCTTGAAGGGTATTTTTAGGAGATTTGAGGCGGAATTTTTGATGGGTAATTGTTGTAGGGTTCATTAGGCATATTGATGAGTGTTTTAAGTTGGATTGATCGAGTTTTCATCAGGAAATTGTAGAAACTATTAAAGTCACATTAATAGGGTTTCTAGGAGTCACACCTAGAGGATAGAAAAACCAAAGCTTCACACCCAGGGTTCTTAGGAGTCACACTTACGGAGATTGAGTTACACTATCAAAAGCAAAGTTGCTGGAATTTTATTCATAAGCTTCAATTAAAATATTAAAAGACTACACGCTTATTTAAATAGTTTTTAGAATTGGAAAACCTAATAAAGTTAATCAATTTAGAACTAGTAGAATACTAAATAGAAAATAAAACCTATCCCTAGACAATTTTCCAGATTTTCTAGCAAATCTATAAATTACAGAAACACCCTTGTCTACAAAAAGACATAAATTTTGCTTCTTTTGTTGTCTGCATCATCCTTACATTTTTAATCTAATCTTTCTCATAATTTTGTCTAGCATTTCTGTTATTGTTGTCACTGAAAATACATTTTGAGACTGAAGTCTGTTTTATTTCCAACTCATGTGATTCTATGTTGTTGCAATCTAAAAGCCACCAAATGAGGTTGTATGTTTATGTGTTTGGACGAAGGTAAATCCTGTTAAACATTTGAGTTCACTCAGCATGATCAGTAAGACGCAATAGTATTCAGCGATTTGAACAACACTGAAGCTGTCATATGGGGTTTAGATTGTGCTTTTTGAGATTGGACAGGTCGTGAGCCATTTCATTGCATATATTAGGGTTCAGGGTCTTTCTCTTTATTCCTCCCCTCATTGTATTGATCCACGACCAATCAACTTTACCCAACTTTTGCGGTTACTCCTTTGATTCCTTCCTCTCTGTACTTATGTGCATCACCTACTGGTTTCTTCCCAAAAGCAACCAAGGCCAGTTTTTTCAATTGTGATTGTGTTTCTGTTGCATCAAATTTTGTTGCTGCAAGCCTGCAACTATACTGAATTGAGTAATCTGTTGCTGAATGATGTGTCGCTTTCAGGATTTTATTTTGTCCATTGTTCTCAATCGGAACTCCCACAATCTTCGACAACCATGAACTAAGTTGAATTTTAGCTGGTGCTTGATGAGTGTGTTCTTTTTTCTATGATCCATTAAAAGGGAACTGTCCTTGGAAAAAATAATGGCATCGTAGACAAGAGTCTGTGCTCTTCTTTTTATGTTTTCTTTTCACCATCATGTCGACCCTTTTGATGTAGCTCTGTTAACCATCTTATTTATTTATTTATTTGAGTTTCTTATTTGATATTAAAACTTCTTAGCAGCACAGTGAATTTTTTGTTATCTTCACATAATTTTGGAAAGAATACCATCCATGTTATGTAATATATTGGTCCATAACAGTTGATAGCAAATTTTTATTTTAGAACTTTTTTTTTTTTGACAAATAAATAAATACGTAAGCTGGGTGTAATCTTTATGGCTGGCAAAGGTTGGCTCAAACATTTATACTTCTATTTTACAGTATTCTCTCCTTGCTGTTAATTAGTATTTGACTTGTTTAGTTTTGTTTTACAGTTCTTTACAACCAAGCCACTTCCTTGTGATCCTTCAAGCTTGCCTAAGTATCCTCCTAGCAAAGAGTTTGACGCGAAAATGCGAGATGAAGAAGCTAGAAGGTAAACATCATAAGAGAACAGAAACCAAGTTGTTCTCCTATTAATTGTTCATTTAATCTGTGTAGGCTGCTGGGAAGCCCATAAAAAGGCTTTAAAAGATTTCCTTTTTTTGGCATTCTAGTCATAGTTCATGGCATTGTTGAAATATAGAAGTTGCGCCCTTAACTGTGTCCAGCAGGCTTTAAGAACTGAAGTTTCTGCATCAGATGAAGCAGTGTTTATTGACCTAATTTTATATTTTGGTTGTGACAGTTGCCTTAATGCCCTGGCTCACATTGCTTTTTGTGGGTTTCTTAATGATCCACTATCCTGTTCTTCACACTTCTTTCGCTGATGACATCATTGATTTGTAAACAAGTCATGTAGTTTGCTAAGAATCTCATTTTTTTCACGTAAACAGACAAGGAGCAGCAGGAAGCAAGGGTCAGAAACCTGACATGGAAAGAAGAGGACAAAGAGAATCTCGAGCTGTCCCAGCACCTGATGCCAATGCTGAGCTAGTTTTATCAATGCAGGTGATTTATAAGATACCTGTCTTTCCCACAGGACACATTTTTGGATGTGTGTATATATGGTTGGGAAAGGATTGCGATTAATAGGTGGTTACATGGGCTTGCTGGGCCACATGGTGAAGTTCAGAAAGTTGCTCAGTGGAAAGATTGGTTGGAAGAGAAAGGAATGGCTTTTTTTTTTTTTTTTTAAAGCTACTCTGTTCCCAAAAAAGCCTAGTAAACAAGCCGGTCGCAATGCAAAGTCTTAGAACACTTCTTACTTCACTCTTCTTAGAACAATGAAGTATGACACAACGTGCCATCTCTCCATTCTAATCACATGGAAATTACTATTCTCCAACACAAATAACATCTTTGTACGAAAGGGACTTTATGAGACACAAAACATCTTTTCTTGATTCTCCATTTTGTCCTCTCTAGCTCTCTCCCTCTTTCTTGTGCCATGAAAGCAGCATCTCATACTTTTTTTTTTATTATTATTTATCAAACAACTTCTGACTCTCTCCATATGAGTTGCTCCATCCCACTTTTAAGCATTATCACCAAAATAATTGATTGTTTCTTGTTTGTCTATTTTCATGAATTATCTCTTTTCACTGTTGATTCCCTTTATTTTTAGGCACACCATTTAAATTAGTTTGATTTTGCAAGTGAAATTTATATTGATGGATTGCCTCTAATTACAGAAAAGACATGTTCAGTCAAATTCCAAGAGCCGGAGCGAGAAGTTTAATCCCCATCCGGAAGAAGTTGCTTCTGGCTTCCCAATTGATCCACCTAGACCATCACAGGCTGCAGAATCAAACATGGATCCTCAGGGGCATCAGCATAAGAGAGCCTCCCATTCTGGGCCACTGTCTCACCGTGCTGCATGGACAAAGGCTGGTAGAAACCCTGACGATGCTCCTAAGATTTCCACGGGGGCTGACTTGTCAACAATGTCAAGCTTAGTGGCAACACGGAGGAGTTTATTATCTGAAGATCGCAGGGAAAGGTCTGGCCTATCACAACCAGAAGCTTCAAAACTAATGGCAAGGTTTCCAGGATCCTTCAAGGAAACCTCAGAGTCCTTCACCCAACAGGATCCAAAGCATTTGTCACAGGGTGTTGCAGGTTCCCATCAAAAGGAAGATGGACGAAATAGCAGTAAAGATCCAGTCCTTGTAAGTCATCAATTCACTCTTCAGTTTTCTTTTCTTTTTTTCTTTTTTTTCCTTTTTGCTAAAGTTTTCCTTTTGAATTTTTGGGAATGGATACTAATTTTCTGACTACCTTACAGATTTTTTTTTGGGTTCCTGATTCATGGTTCTTGTTAATTTGAATCCAGCTTGGCTATGGGTCAAAGGGTCACAAAATTCACTATTCTGGCCCATTGATAGTTCCATCAGGGAACGTGGATCAGATGCTGAAGGATCATGATCGCCATATCCAAGAAGCTGTTAGACGAGCACGCCTTGACAAGGCAAAGGTTAGAAAAGTCCAGGCCGAGAGCAACCAAATATCAACCAATTCATTATTTGTTTCAGGTCGATGAGGTAAACCCCAAATGAGAAGCTTTGGTGGGAAGATCACTGCAGAGTAATTTGACTGGTGGTTTCCTTCTGTGAAATATGAGTTAAAAACCGTTGGCTGGGGTTTTTGTATATGTTCTTAGAAAGATAGCTAGTGGTCATTTTAGCTATAAGATTATAGCTCTCTGATAAATCTCTCCTTTCTCTGCAATTTATCACGTGTATTTACTTTCCACTATTATTGCAATTTCTAAATTATTGGCCATTCTTGTAGAGCATTTGTATTGGCCACAAGATGTAGAGTATCTGGATGATGCGAAACGTAAAATTATCCAACGGTGATGGAGAGAGAGATGCTGCTCCCACCATACTCAATATTCTAGTTTAAGTCCTCCCTAAAGGGTCGCTTCTCATTTATCACCGCCACAGAAATCAAGTTTTTTCTCTCTTTTCATAAATGTCTACATAACTGATCAGATGGCCACTCCCTCCTGCAAACCATACAATGACTGATGACGAGGATGGTGCATGGTTAAGATTGTGGGAGCACTCATATTGGCCTTTGAAAGGTCTAAGTGCAAAAAGGTACCAATTTGCAAAGTCAACGTTGACCCTTCAAGATGTGGCTGGATGTATCATTATCCTCCCAAAACGAAATGGTGCACGCACTATAAGTTGCAACTACAAGACTGGTGTCTGGTGATGGATGACAGTAATGAACACAGTTCTAGACGCACAGTTCCTAGCCTGCAAAACGAGAACGCTCCTCCAAGTGCTACTATTTTTAACCAACTCATTTCTCCAATTTGAATTTGCAGTTTGAGGTCACATTTAGCGGTTTCAGTTCTTCAGGTTTGTTGCTTTATGGCACTGCAGAACTAGGTTCACTTTCTCTCGCCACAGACACCACATTTTCCATTGGTAGAGCCCTATACCACTTCAAGATTCCCACAAGATACCCGAACACTTCAAAGCTTATACCTTTCTCCTCCTCTTTCACCTTCGCCATCACCCCATTCTCCCTGGTAACGATCTTATCGTCATTCTCGTACTGTCTCTTGGTGTTGAAGGTGCCTCTTCACAACGGCATCTTGGTTTCTTGAACAACACCAACGATGGGAACCTCAACAACCATGTTTTTGGCATTGAATTTGATGTGTTCCAAAATAAAGAATTCAATGATATTAATTATAACGATATTGGTGCTGACTTAAATTTTTTTTTTTTTTTTAATTCATCTAAGAGTTATTGAACTACACAATTAAAAATGAAAGTAGTCTTTTTTTGTCATTGCATAATTACTAAAATAAACTTAAAGAGTCACTGGGATTCCAACTTTATTTTACTAAAAAAACTAATGGGATACAAAATTACTAGGTTAATCCTGTTTGTGCAACTCACTCGCTTCTTTGATCGCTAAGGAAGCTAGATATTGGTCTTATGTCAAATACAAAGAACAAACATAGCAAGACTAATTGATCTTTCCAAGAGTTGAAGCTTAATAACGGAGAAAACTAAACGGCGAGGCAAGGATAGACTCCATGAGTTCTAAGTTGAGCATATCCATATATGGCTCCTTCACACATGGCGAAGCCTCGGAGGCCACTGATTAATGTTCCTCGTGGCCTTTCTAAAGTATTTCTTGATGAGATGTATGTGGGTTTCTGTGCATCTACTGGGAATCTTATCGAAAGTCACAAAACATTGAGTTGGACCTTTAGTAACTCAAAGTTGATTTGATTTTCATTGTCGTCATCATCTTCCAAGATTTCACATTCAGTGGTTTCAGTTCTTCACAATATATTAATTTGCTCTTTATTTAAGATGGGGAACCAGAGGTCCACAGAGATTGCCGAACTATCACCTTCGTATTCGTAAAACAACAAATACTTTATTAGTCCACACATTTCTCTATCTATGGGCTTCATTGAACTTGAAAATATATACCTTTCAAGATCACTGAATGTTTGCAATATATGCCCACCACAAACAATACAACTGGCTGTTTAAACGACAATATATGGTTTATTAATAAAAAAAATCACTATGGATGCATGTGGTGAACAGGTGAAATGTGTGTTGTTGGGAGAAGTGGGGTAAAAACCTAATTATGTGATAAGATAAAAATAAAAAAATAACATAAAAATTGTTTTTAATCGAATTTTACAAGCACGCCAAACATCTACACATTGAATTTATTATGCTTTGTTGCTGTCATGTCCATTCTCATATGATAAACTTCATCTAATTTCGTTTTTTTCCCTTCAGATTTCTTGCAAATAACTTGTCATTTGGTGCTTTTCCCTATGAATTTGGCTAAATACATGTCATAGCTAGAATTTGAAACCTAAATAAAATAACGAATAAAACAGAGCAAACTTTGTCTGAAAGTTTTCTTAAGAGAAACGATGATAACTTGTATAAACTCATGACGTGTTGTCCCAAAAATGAATGTGGAAGTGAAGTGACCAACAAGACAGAGAAATGAAGAGTCCCCAGCTATTAGTCGACACCGTACGAATGGCAAAGCGTGGCCATTTTCACTACATGAAAAATCAATCAATCACGACCCATTTTTGCCACCTTACCGCTCACTGCTTAAATAACCTGACCCCACCCCATATCAACTCTTATCCTCAATTACCTCACATTACTATTATAGTACTAATGACAACACGGTAGAAATTACTTAGTACCTTAAATCAACCCCACCTCTTCATCTTTTCCTTCCTCGTATACTTTTAGGCCTTCTTTTACCAACTTCAGGTATCCATGTGCACACACTCAAACCCCACATTTTAAGGTTTATTTTATTAATATTCTTTCTTGTTACCTTTCATTACATTAATCAATAGTTTATTAGCTTCTTTTCTAGCATGTGATGTGTGCGTTTCTTGTAAATATTGTTGGATTGCTATGTTGTTGTTGTTAGATTAAAGAATCGCAATTTTTTTTTTCTTAACAAGTTAAGAATTCTTAATTGCTCCTTGCCTGCTGTTCAAACAAGAACCACATCATCAGATTAGTTTAATATGTTCATCTGTAGCCCATGTACTTGATTGCTTAGTCGAGAACTGTTTTTTGATTTTTTGCGTGATGTTCTACTAATCTTTGAGTTTCCATTTTAGGAAAGCCAAGATCATTATTTTCATCAAGAACTGTTTTTTTCTGTTTTAGTATTTGCAACTGATGGCCCACGAAGTTTCAAATTTACGTTCTTTTCTTTTGGCTTCTGTGTAGAGAGAGAGAGAGGAAAAAAACAAGAATGAGGCTATGGTGGTGCCACGTAACTCAAATGGAATAAAGCAGGAAGATAAAGAAGAAAAATAGCCAAAGAGTTCAGCTTGACCTTGTGGCTTAAAAAAGAAAGAATACAGTAATAGTTATCTAATGAAGTACCATATATTGCGTAGAGAGAAGTAGGGCATGAGAGAGAAAGAGAGAGAAGTGTTTTTTTTTTTTTTGGGTTGAAACATGTTGTTGGTTTTTTGACGGAGTCGTTTTGTATGTTTTTATTTTGGAAGTTGTAGGAAAAAAATGAGGGAATTTATGAGGCTGTAGTGTTTAGTGGAGTGTAGTAACTCAAGTCCTGTTGTGTTGTGTGGTTCTCTTTTCAGGTTGGTCTAACAGGATCAGAAAGATCCATTCTTGGTGCTACTACAGGTACTTATCCCTCCCCACCTCTCTCTCTTCTTCTAAATGGCTGTATATAATATTATTGTAGATTGGGTTTTGTTGATTCTTATGCATGTTTTGTTTTTTTGATGAAACCTTTAGGTAAATGTGTTGTAATTCTATATTGTGAAAAGGGTATCTTAATTTTTTTTTTTTTCTGGATATTCGTGTACTTCTCTCTTATTTTTTTTGTGGTGCTGGTGCTTGCGTTGAAAAGTACATGTGTGAGGACATAGTTATAAAATTCTCGTGGATAAAAAAAAAAAAAAAGGGGAAAGAATGTGTGTTGTATAATAGATGTGTTGATTTTTCTCTACTTCATCATATTTTCTTAATTTTTTTTAATTGGTTTATTGATTTTAGGATGGTTGCAGTTGTCTCATGAGAAGGTTGCTTGCTAAGACTTAAAGAGCTCATCTTATCTGCTTCAGTGCCCACTGCCCACCAAGGGTTAGTATTTTTATTTGAGGAGCTGAGTTATTGAGCTTTGGCTTGATCGGAAGTTGGGTTCTTTTGCTATTTCTTTGAAATGATGCATTGATTGAAGATGGAAATGGTGGAAGTTAGAGAGTGTCGTAGAAGCAGGCGAATTCCTCCCTTTCTTCGATGTGTTTGTTCTGTCTTACATGCAGCCGTAGGGGGTAAACATGGAGGGCTCATCTGAGTCTGCTTGGCAGAAATCTGATAGTTATAGGGGATTTAATACTTCAGTGGTCTCCAACAGGAATCTAAGATCTGCATCTCACAATTTTGGGTTTAGAAAGGAGACTGATAGGGTTGTTCTGGCGCGCCAAAACCTGAAAAACCAGGCTGATACTTTATCAGGGGTTTGTGAGGATGAAGCTGCAGTTGATCATTTTCTCCGAACCATAGAATGGAACGATATTAGCTTGAGGCATTGGTTGGACAAACCAGAACGGTCTGTTGATGAATTTGAATGTTTGCACATATTTAGGCAAATAGTTGAAGCTGTAAATGTGGCACATTCACAGGGAATTGTTGTTCATAATGTCCGGCCTTCTTGCTTTGTTATGTCATCATTTAACCATGTCTCCTTCATCGAGTCCGCTTCTTGCTCAGATTCTGGGTCTGATTCTTTGGAGGATGGATTGAATAGCCAAACTATGGAGGTTAAAAACTCATCTTCTTCTTTCCCCCATGATATGTGCCAGCAGAGAAGTAGGTTCCAAAGTGAAGATTTTTTACCTGCATCTACTCCAACTAATGCTTTATCAGAAGCCAGTTGCATGCAGTCCAGCTCAGTTTATGCAGCGGATGTACCATTAGGGGAAGAAACAGAAGAAAATAAAGTCCGTGATATGATGAATGTTGAATATGAAGAAGAAAGGAAACAGCCATTTCCAATGAAGCAAATATTGCTTATGGAGTGCAGTTGGTATACCAGTCCTGAAGAGGTTTCTGGTTCAACATGCTCCTGCGCTTCAGACATCTACCGGTTGGGTGTTCTTCTTTTCGAGGTTCGTAATGATAATGCTACATTTATGATATGAACGACCAAAATTAGAGTGGATTTAAAAGCCATTTCTTGTATCTGTTTTGCACTTTTGACTTTAGTTTCAAGCAGAAAGTTCTTCATTATCCAATGGCCCGTAATGATGTCTTAGAGCTTCTGTTCTTTACTGTCTACATTGATATGATATAGTTCTACTTGTGAACAGTTGTTCTGCCCATTCACTTCAAGGGAAGACAAGAGCAGAACTATGTCTAGTCTTAGACATCGACTTCTTCCTCCTCAGCTGCTGCTCAAGTGGCCAAAAGAAGCTTCATTTTGCTTATGGTTACTGCACCCTGAGCCAAGTAGTCGGCCAAAAATGGGGTGAATATTAATTTCCTGCACCTCTGTTTACTTTACATTTTATGGTAGCATCTGCCTTAATCTGTAGGTGTGTGTGGGGTTTTTGGAACTCTTCGAACAAGCTCCTCGTTTGCTTATGGTTATTGCACCCTGAGTCAATTACCTTGTTTGATTTACCTTTCATCTGATTTCTGTTCAATCAAATTTTTGTGGTCTTATTCTTTTGAATCATGTAACAGTGAATTGCTGCAAAGTGAGTTTCTTACTGAACAAAGAGACTATTTGGAAGAGCGTGAAGCAGCAATAAAGCTTAGAGAGAGAATAGAGGAGCAGGAATTGTTGCTTGAATTCCTTTTATTGATACAACAACGACAACAGGACGCAGCTGATAAGTTGCAAGATACTGTTTCTCTTCTATGTTCTGATATTGAAGAAGTTACAAAGCTTCAAATGTTTCTTAAGAAAAAGGGGGGCACATATAAAGAAAGAGGAGAGGGCGATCATTTAGCATCAAATCTCCCTTTGGTGAACGTTGTTGATATTGATGATTATTCTAGGTCGGGTTCCCGAAAACGATTTTGCCCAGGCCTTCAGATTCACAATGTAGAGGAATGTGATGATAATCTGGATGAAGGTAGGAACTCAGATACATTTGTAGAATTAGAGGAAAGTCCTCTTTTTAGAAGTTCTCGATTAATGAAGAACTTTAAGATATTAGAGTCAGCATATTTTTTGACAAGATCCAGACCAGTCAGGCCACCAGGGAAACCACCATTTGTTAGAAATTCTCCAGTAAGTAGTGATGGAAGAGGTTCTGTTGTTGTGACTGAAAGAAGCTCCATAAATAGTTTAGCACCAAAGGAACGGTTTATTGAGGGTAGACAAAGTGGATGGATAAGTCCATTCCTGGAGGGTTTGTGCAAGTATCTATCTTTCAGTAAGTTAAAAGTGAAGGCTGACCTGAAGCAAGGGGATTTGTTGAACTCTTCAAACCTGGTCTGCTCTCTTAATTTTGACCGTGATGGAGAATTTTTTGCTACAGCTGGTGTAAATAAAAAGATAAAAGTATTTGAATGTGATACAATTATAAATGAAGCTCGTGATATCCATTATCCCGTTGTTGAAATGGTAAGTAGGTCAAAGCTAAGCAGCCTATGTTGGAACAGCTATATTAAAAGCCAAATTGCTTCAAGTAACTTTGAGGGTGTGGTGCAGGTAATCGTGCAAACCTTATATTTGATGATCCTTCTGTCTTTATGTCACTCGATAGTAAATCAGTTGCTCAACATGTTCAGGTATGGGATGTTACAAGGAGTCAAGTAGTAACAGAAATGAAAGAGCATGAGAGGCGTGTTTGGTCCATTGACTTTTCATCAGCAGATCCAACAATGCTGGCTAGCGGGAGTGATGATGGTTCTGTCAAGCTATGGAGTATCAATCAGGCAATGCTACTTTTGCACTTGGTGGATGTCAGCTTTGAAACTAATTGTACTAATGTTATGTAATTTCTTAATCTGTTAATTTAATTCTGGATATATGATAAGTTGTTCTTATTATTTGGGTTGCTTATGCAGGGAGTAAGTATTGGTTCCATCAAAACAAAAGCCAATGTTTGCTCTGTTCAGTTTCCCCGGATTCGAGTCGTTCTATTGCATTTGGTTCAGCAGATTATAGAATTTATTACTATGATCTTCGTAACTCAAGAGTTCCTCTGTGTACATTGATTGGACACAATAAAACTGTGAGTTATGTGAAGTTTATAGACAAGACCAATCTTGTTTCTGCATCCACGGATAACACGCTGAAGCTCTGGGATTTGTCAATGGCCACGTCTAGGGTTATTGACACCCCCTTCAATCCTTCACAGGCCACACGAATGTAAAGGTATGTTGAGTTCTCACACAATATTATGCATCTATGTGCTATTTTTTTGACCTTTTTGTGAGGGCTATTGGATGAGAATTGGCCTCATTTTGATTAGTTGTTAATTTTCCTGGTCTGTCCCAGCTGGGATTAGTTTAAAGTTGAACTAGAATCGAGTATAGCCAATACAAACTTAACCTTTGTCGGTAATTTTTAATTTTCATTGGGCGATAGGATACTGGGACTTCAATTTTAAGCATCAAATATCACGTGTTAACATTTTGGAGCCACTTTATGTTGAAGGTAATTACGTGTTTTGAAATTGTATGATTAGCATCACTGAAGATGCAATTGATATTAGTTGTCAAATACAGATGGTGTATTAGTTTACAGTGTAAGCATAATTCAAATATTGTTGTGACCCTGCATCTGCCCTCCATCTAGTCATGAAGGTGCTTTACTGTTGAGCTACTTTGCCAATGACATGAAAGCTAAACAAGAGATAAGCTCACTCTCCACCATAGTTTTTAAAAACGGCCGTTACCGTTATATACGGTAACGGGGCACTTCGTTACTGTTATTCAGCAATATGGATGGCTCAATATCGTTTCACACAGATAACGGCATATCACTCCGTTATATAACATAATGGCGTTACACCAATTTATGTTTGAAAAGAAAAAACCATTTCAGGGGTTGAAATTCAGCTAGAGACAGAACCCACATGATTCATTCAGAGAATAATGCATTTGCAGGATTTGAGTGAAAAAAAGTATAAATTAGTCATTTTATTTTTTAAAAATAAATTAGTTAGTCCTTTTTATTTTAAAAGCTAATAATTTAGTTATTTTTGTTCATTTTATATTTTTTTCTAATTTGTTTTTGTTTTAAAAAATTAGAAAAAGAAAAAAAAATTTATACAATGAAATATTGATGAAAAAAGAAAATATTTTATGAAACAAAATATTGAAATTTGGATAATTAATTTTTTAAAAATTAAGGGCTAATTAATTTATCTATTGAAACTAAAAGGACTAATGTATAATTTAATCTTTATTATTCTATTTTGTTTGTAACTTTGTCTTGAGTTTGACTTTTGCGTGCACAAATAAATGCAGACTTTGATTGGATAAACTATAAATTAGTCTCTTTAGTTTGAAACAATAAATTAGTTGATCCTTTTTGTTTTAAAAACTTATCATTTAGGTTCTTTTTTTTTAATTTCATGTTATTTTTTAATTTTTTTCCTTTTATTTTAAATATTTGAAAAATTAAAAAAAGTAAAAAAAATAATTTATTAGAAGTGTGTATATTGAAATTAAAAAAAAAGTAAAAAATAAATTATTTGGTCCTATTATTATGATCTTCCACAACGATCTTTTTTGAGATGAATATTTTATGATGTGTATATTGAAATTATAATGTATTTTATTATTATTTTTTTATGTGTTATTAATCTATTAGAAGTGTTATTAATTAATTTTTGTAATAAATTCAACATATGATATTAAAATATTAGAGATGTTATTAATTATTATTATGTTTAATTAATGTAACTGCTAAAAATATATGAATTAAAATAAATTTATTAATAGTTGTTAATGTTTTCTTGACATCACTTGTCGTGACCGTTATTTTATCACCATGATGAACTGCTCGTGATCATGATCGTTTTTTCAACCACGATTGGTATTTAAAACTATGCTCTCCACTTTAAGGTCATCATAGATTTGGCCATAGCATGGTCATTAGAAGTCAGGAAATCACTGGTACTAGATGCTCTTACCCGCGCATGGCTGTATGGCAATTATCTTCTATTTACTGAATGCAAGGCTTCTAATAGGACAAGATGGGTAAGGTAGAACTTGTGTAATTGAATCAGATTGGTTGTGCAGTTGGACTTTGGAAATAATGTTCTTTTGGAGTCAAGTAGCGGAGAGTGGGTTGGGAAATGGTTTGCTAAGTTCTTTTTTACTATATTGATAAAATTTATTGAGGATTTGCAATGAAGAAAACATTATGGTGCTTCTAGTCATGAAGGTCTGTGCCTTCAAAGTTGATTTTCTTTCAAAACACGTTTCACTTGGTTGAAAAGTTAGCTTATGATCTCCATATAAATTACATGATTTGGAGAATGCACATAACCTTCTGAAGTTTTTAATAAAAAATTGCACAATTGATCTTCATGTAAGCTAGTTATTTGAATTCAAGTGTTGTGACTTGTGGTAATGAAGTGGGATCATTGTATGTACAAGATACATGTGATAGTGCCAAATGTGAGCTGATAAGTTGTTCTAGTGTAGTCCCATTCAATTTTTTTCTATTATTTGTCATCTTCTTCTGGCTTCTGCTTGTATTCAATGCTATTGTCTTTGTAGCTGAATCTAGATGGGCTATTGGTGTAATTCTTTTTCTTTTTTTTTCTAATAAAATGATGATTTACCAAAAAAAAAAAAGAAAAAAAGTATGCTAGTTATCTAGTTGGCAGAACTAGGGCTGCTATGTATTGCAAATGGGGGTTACTGGCAGGGGATGAGGTGAAGCAAATTCATTATAGCAAGTTAATATAGTACTTCTATCTTAATGTTTCTTTGTGTGATGTAATGTGAAATTCGTTGAGTTCCATCAGCTATGCCTAAAGCTCTGATGGTAGTAGTCTCGTGTTTTATATTTGAGTAAGAAGTTCTAGAATTGTCTGTGTTTCACCTTTCTTATTATGGTCTTTGAAATTAGGGATTGTGTGCTCAAAATTTTTATGACTGGCAGTCATGTTACATATTGGAAAATGAAAATTCCTACTGAAAAAATGAACTAATGAAGGAAACATTCAAGGGCTTTTTTTTTTCTCAGCTTAGGTACTTCACCATGCACGTATATGCTAGAAGATTTGCTGTTAAGTTTCAATTTCTTAGTTTATTAGGCATTTGATGTACTGTTTACAGTGATAGATGTATTTTATTGGTGTTGGAAAATGGTCCATGCTTGACATCTTTTGTCTATGTTGCTCATGCTGTAGAACTTCGTGGGTTTGTCTGTATCAGATGGTTACATTGCAACTGGCTCGGAAACAAATGAGGTAATTAATATATCTTCTTAATTCTTTAGTATTTAGCTTTTGTTATTATGGCATAAACATCCAATAACTCGTGGTCTCTCTCTTGTTTGACAAGCCTTGTTACCTGAGCTACATAAGCACATAGCCTTCTTTAGGAAATCAAATTTGTCTTCAAATGTTCAGTTGCTTTTTGGATAATCGGGTGTAGCCTTCCATACATCTAATTAGATTACCTCATTAGATTTGTAGGCTTGGAAAAGTTTTGGGCTGAAAAAATAAAGACTACCTTAATGGACACGGAAACATAATCAGCATCTATAGTAGCAAACAATTGCATAAACCAAATATCCTCATATTACAGCTCTACAAGCAACTCTCTCACCTTTTCTTACCTTTAGCTTTCTTTTGACTGTTGTTTACCTTTTCGTTTGGCTCTTGTTTTCTTGGAATTCAACCGCTGTTAGATACAATAGGCTTGGTACCCCCTCCTCCACCTCTAATGACCATAGCATCTGTTTCTTCTTCAGTGTAGTTGTCTGACCTCTAATGTTTAGGAAACAAGATGTATGATTGATTATATTGGACTTCTTTGTGCGAGAAGTAAAGGAAAGAAAAGGAGGAAACAAGAACACAATAAACTTTACGTGTTTAGGTTTGAATTGACCTACGTCCACAGGCAAGGCGATGACAAGTTTCACTATGAAATTGGAACTTGTCTCTCTCAAACCCTCGTCTTGATATACCCTCTCCTCACCACATACTCAACTTGTTATTTTCTAAACCTTAACCCTTCTAATGCAAGAGTTAATACATATAGCAAACCAAGTGGGCTAAAAAGGAAAAGGGCCTAGTAACTAGTGAGCTAGAAATTCTAGACATATCCCAACACTTCACCTGCACCTCTGTTGGGCAGCACATGATCTTTTTCCTCGGTAGTTTAATCCATGCAGCATGAATTGCATTGCTTCTATTGGCTTTAAGGTGGCACAAGACTTAAAACTTCTATCCCTTCTCCATCACTTGGTTCAGCAAGCTTATATCAGTTGATAAATGGATGCATGGAGTGGAATGGAATTAATGATCAAGTTGTGAAAAAACACAATGGCCATAGTCTTTTCACTCACATCATGATATTGTATTAGCTTTTAAGCTGCTTTTCTTTCTGTGATTCTGATAAGTGCCCTTTTTTCCTTTCTGCCAATTTTTTAACACCCTCTTGAGCAATTATGCTAGTGGAGTGACTTTTTTGCAGTGCACATTATAGTTCAATGCAAGTGCCATTCATCTATGAAGTTTAATATTGTGTGTGGAATAGGTTTTTGTCTACCACAAAGCTTTCCCTATGCCGGCGTTGTCCTTCAAGTTTAACAACACAGACCCAATTTCTGGCCATGAATTGGATGATTCTGCACAATTTATTTCTTCTGTCTGTTGGCGTGGTCAGTCATCTACGTTGGTTGCTGCAAATTCTACTGGGAATATCAAAATCTTGGAGATGGTTTAAATTGGTGTATGCTCCAGACTGTACATGATTTTAGCTTAAAGGAGATAAGTTGGTTGCAACGCAAGGGTAGTCGAAAACTTTAACCACAGGAAATTGTGTAGCTTATATAGGGGCAAGGGGTATAGAAACCTTATGGTTCGTTTTTTTTTTTTTTTAGCAAAAACAAATTTTGGCATTAAATCATATAGGGGAAGCAGTCAACAGGAGAGATAATGGTCTCGATCCTATAGAATTGAGGGGACAAGAAGAGCAAAAGTTATTTGTCTTGTATATTCTGCAATGGTTAAAGTTCATTTTTTTACAACGAAAATGGATGTTAACATTTGTCATCCTTCACCCTTTACTTGATGGGGCCAATCAACTAGCCCCTGTTTTAGACGCTGTCTCCAGTCACCTTTCGTTGCAGTTGCATTTGCTTTCTCCATAGAAAGATGCAAAACTTTACAGCAACAGACATTGATATTTTTAATGAACTATGAAAATTAAAGTGTTCGAAGTTAAAATCAATCAATCTAGTTCTAACTTTGAAAAAACTGCTCTCTACTAGTCACCTAAATTCTCTTCCTGCTAGAGAATTTTCAAAAACCTGATGAGGAGGAATCTGATCGAAACATTAAGAAGGTCTGATTAAGAGACCAGGACACGATCCATGACTCGCCTACAGAGTTATCTAATCTCTTAAAAATAGATTGAATTTCAAGAAAATAGTGGCTAGATTGAATTTCAAGAAAGCAACGAGTAATGGGAAGGAGACAGAGTCGCCACAAACATTATTGTAGTTGATGAGGGAGACATAACAATAGCGGAGAAAGATCATGGCTGGTCTATCGTATTATCGAAACCTTTGAAGGAACACTTAAGAGAAACCATGTGAGCTCTTTGTGGTGGTCAAGGTGCTAGGGCGTAGCGTGGGCTACAAAGATTTATGCATTTGACTTAAGACCATTTGGAGTGCGACTAAGCCTTTTAGGGTGATAGACATATGGAGAATGACTATTTCTTAGTCAAATTCTCTACACATTCAGACTACTTGTATGCTTTGGTCGGTAGGTCTTAGGCAATTCTTAGACATTATCCAACTATTTAACCCGTAGTTAATGTCCAAGATTCCGACTCCACCAAATTGCACGAGAAGAGCAAAAATTTTGGTCCGTGGTTACATGCACAGACAGCTCCCAAACATACATCCCGTAGAGAAGATATTGGCGTTTTAAAAACTGGGGCCACTGCCAAAATTCCCTCTAATAACGGTTCACGTTTTACTGTGCTAAATGATGAAGAGCAAAAGGGTTCTCGGGCAACAGCAGTCCAAAATCCAAATTCCCTCTTCACGGGCCATGCAAGGATATCCTAGTCAGGCCCACTTTGCAGCTCCAATGCCAGGCCAGCGAAGCCCAAGTCTCAACCCGCTACTGAAGCCCAGTCTTCAAATAAGACCTCAGTAGCTACCACCAGCCACATCCAGATTTTGAAGGACGAGTTCAACCGGGAATAGAGATATTTCTAGGGTTCAGTAGGTTATGAAGTTGGCAGATATAGGGAGGCACGCAGACACCAACGTTTATTTGTTATGTAGTTTTGAAGCCAGAGAAGGGTTCTGACACTCCAATCACCATTAATGAACCACCAGATTAGATGGAAACTGTCAAAAAGAAGAAAAAGGAGGCGGTCAAAAATACAATTCCCATACGCAAAGCACCTTGTAATGTCTCCTCCTCGAATCAAATCAAGAACTCTAAACTCAAGCAGATTATGTTGGAGAATTCAGAGGATGAAGACAGGTTCCTTGACTCCATCGCTACAGAACTGGATGGAAGGACCGAGACCATTAGTTCTCCCCTCCCACATGTTTAATTAGCTCGGTTTCTCCTTTGTTAGTGTTCCATATGAATTTTATCTTTTGAAATTGTCAACGAGCTCGACATAGATTGTTCAAAGCTGCCTATTCTGAGTTAATTATGATGCATAAACTACTGGGGGCGTGGTTTCAACATGTATAACAACTACGCTCTCTCTTCTTGTCTGAATGACTGAATTTTTGGACTTGGATTTTATGGGACCACTATACGCATGGCAACGAGGGGCTGTTCAGGAACACATCGATCGAGTTGTTTGCAACACTGATTGGTAGTTAAAATTCCCAAATGCAATGGTGAAGTACCTCTCTCGTATCAAACCTCGACTTTGAACAAAAAAAAAAAAAAACAAATTCCGAACCGCATGGTTAACATGTTCGGATTTTGGTGAGTTTCTTAACCATATTTGGGATCCTACTTTATCCTTTATTGCAGCTAAGTATAGGTTTGTAGAAGCTGTACAGGGGTGGAACAAGAACACATTTGGGAACATCTTCAGAATGAAAAGACGACTACTAGCTAAATTAACGAGAGTAGAGAAAGCTTTAGACCACCGTTGTAATCCTTTCTTAATCCACTTAGAGAAGCAGCTAAGAAAGGAGTATGAAGATATCTTATTATGGGAGAAAATTTTCTGGTTCCAAAAGGCGAAGTGTGAATGGCTAGCCTATAGTGATAGCAATACTTCTTATTATCATGCCTTAACTCTGGTAAAGAGAAGATCGAAAAGGATTGGGAGACTGCGAGATGACTATGGCCGATGGTGTACTGATAAGGAACAGATGGCCTCTCTTAAACTTAAGTATTACAAGACTTTATTTACGGAGGAGACTACCTACGTGAGAGAGCCTTCAGTGCATGGCTTTTTTCCATGCATTCCTTCTAACCTTCTGCCATGTATAAATGATTTAGTTTCAGTTAATGAAATAAAAGAAGTCGTTTTTTATATGAAACCATACAAGGCTCTAAGGGCGGATGGGCTACATGCAGCTTTTACAGACATGAAATTTGGGATCCCTCTCTAACAAAGGCACTTTAGCTTCTGATCCCTAAAGTGGATGTCCCAGAGTTGGTTACCCAGTTTCATACCACTGGATTATGTAAAGTCTCTTACGAAGTTCTCACTAAAGTAATTTTCAACAGATTGAAACCCATTCTATCGATTATATTACGCCAACTCATGTGAACTTTGTCTCAGGTCGAAAAATACCAGACTATATTATTATTGCCCAGAATTATTCATTCTATGTTAGAATGCAGAGAAGACTTTAGATGGAAAGTAAACAGAGAAGCTTCATTTCAATCAATCTCTCTGTTACAAAGGAAAACTCTGCTTAACCTTCTTCTTAATCTAGCAGTCCACATATATATAGAGCATTAGCTGGTAAGCAGCTAGAAGAAGAAAAGATTAACCAACTAACTAACCTGCTAACTGTATCAGTTATAACTAAATGTGCTTGATAATGAAAATCCACATGAGCTGTCCACATGGATCTCATGTTGTAACAAATTATCCACGTGGATTGTCCATGTAGACCTCATGTTTTAACACTCTCCCTCAAGAGGAGCATGGATGTCCGCAATGCTCATCTTGCACAAAAAGGAATGAAATGGAGAAGGCTGCAGTGTTTTGGTGAAGATATCTACAAGTTGCGGATCGGTGGGAACAAATTATGGTTGAACAATACCAGCAAGAACTTTCTCCCGAATGAAGTGGCAATCAATTTTGATGTGTTTTGTTCTTTCATGAAAGACGAGTTTCTTGTTGATATGAATGATAGATCGACTATCACATTGGAGAACCACTCCCTCTTTATGAACAAAACCCGGATCCCGTAATAGAGACAACAACCAAATCAACTCACAGCAACACAAGGCCATGGCCTTGTATTCGACCTCGACGTAGCTTCGGCCACCAAGGATTGTTTCTTCGACTTCCAGCTAACAAGGGAACTTCTAAGAAGAAAACAAAAACCAAGTGATAGAGCAACGAGAGTCCATGCAACCGACCCAATCACTCGTCTATAAATGCTTGGAGTGTAACACTTGAGTCCGATGAGAAGAGAAGGCCTTTCCCGGACGCATGTTTAAGGTATCATAATACCCAAAATGTTGTTTGCAAGTGTATCGGGCTAGGTTTATCCATGAATTGTGAAAAAGCTTGTATGGCAAAACATAGATAAGGCTTAGTGAAAGTTAAGTATAACAATTTGCCCACAAGTTGTCTATAAACGAGTAGGGTCTTCTAAGAAGTCGAATCTACCTTGACCAACTTGATATTAGGATCCATTGGGGTAGAGGCTAGCTTAGCCCCTAACAAGCCATGGTTTGTTAGTAAGTTAAGGACATATTTCCTTTGGCATAAAAATATAGCCCTTGGAGACTTAGCCACCTCAATCCCAAGAAAAATTTCAATTTTTCCAAATCTTTCATCTTGAACTTGGAATTGAGACGAGTGTTTGAAGTCTTCAATGAGGGCCGAGGAATTATTCGCAATGAAAATATCGTTAACATACACGAGTAAAGTAAGAAAACCTATGGATGGAATCTGTTTAGTGAACAAAAAGTAGTCGACCTTGGATTGCACAAAACCAAAAGACAAAAGAGAAAAAGTCGACCTTCCCATTCCATTGCCTAGATGCTTGCTTTAACCTATACAAGGATTTTTGAAGCTTACATATTGGGCGTGTATGTGCATGATACTCCTCCTTGATCATATACCCCCGTGGAAGGTCCATATAAACTATCTCATGCAAATCTCCATAGAGAAAAACATTGTATTGAACTCACAATGATTGAGTTAGGAGGAGAGAAAGAAGGATTTGTTGCCCACAAATGGAAATGGGGAGAAAGGAGGAGTTGTTGCCAACTCACGGAGAAGAGGAGGGAAGGGAGGAGAAGAAGGAAATGAGAGAAAGAAAAAGAAAATGGAGGAGGAAAAGGCAAGGGATGGAGGGGAAGAAGAAGAAAAGAAGAGAGAATAGGAGTTTGGAGAGATTAGTGGCATCAATAGAGGATTTTAAGGAGGTGGTGGAGCCGTCGAAAAAGAAAAAAGAGAAGAGAAGAAGAAAAAATGAAGAAAAAGAACATCTCGCACGAATTCGGGGATTTTACGTTTAGCGACAATTTAGAAACAATCACTAAAAGCAAAATCCCTCTTTTTTAAAAAAAAAATTCCCCTCCGGGTATAATATTTAATGATGGTCTTATCAAACTGTCATTAAAGGCACCATAAAATGGTTCATTAGCAATGGTTTTTCAAAAAGCGTCAGTCGAAACCCTTATTTGTGGGGATTATAGCAACGATTTTTTTTCTAAACCGTCGCTACAAACTCCTAAAATTTAGGAAAATCTAGCAAGGGTCTATTAAAATCATCGCTAAATGCTCCTAAAAATTTAGGTTGTTTTTAGCGGCAGTTTAGCGTACTATCGCTACATTCTCCAAAAGTATCCGTTAAAACTTTTTTGAGGAATTTAAAGATGGTTTATTAAAATAGTCAATAATTTTACCTCAAAGTAGTGATAGTTTTTCTAAACCATCATTAAATAACCGAAAAACGAGTTGAATCTGTGACAATTTAAGAAGACCATCTCTAAATTTTTCAAAAGTATCTCTAAATTCTCCAAAAGTACCCATTGGAGTTTGATGGGGAATTTAAAGATGGTTTAGAAAACCGTCTTTAAATAGCCCAAAAAAGATGAAATTTGTGATGGTCTAGCCATACCGTTGCTAAATACGTTACTTTCTAAGGATGGTCAAGTGGGTTTTCAAACCCGTTGCCAAATTTATGTGTTTTTTGTGATGGTTTGGAAAACCGTTACGAAGTTATTAAAAACCCAAAATCATAATGAAATTCATGAGAGTCTATATAGACCATCGTGAATTCGAAATAGTTTTTTAAACCGTTGTTAATCTTATGTTTTGTTGTAGTGTTCATCTTCCTTCAAATCTTCTATAGCTTTTGTAAGGGTTTGAGGAGGAAACCAATCAATGTCATTAAAGGTGTAGTCATTTTGTGACTTCCACAATCTCTAGCATATGAAACAAGCAAGTGTCACGGCATAAAATATATCATCTCGCTGATTGATTTGGATGAGTAAGGCTTTCCACCAATCCGAAAACAAAGAAAAGGGGAAAAAATCTACTCGTAGTTAGAAAAGGAAGAAAAACAACACTTGTCTCACCTTTGGACATCTTACAAAAAGATGAAACCGGGATTCAACCTCAACTTTATAAGTCTTACACACAGCTGGAATAGATAGTATTTTGTGGTGTAAGTGAGAGTAAACCGCCAAATTATATATTGCAATGAGCTCTCCGGATAAAGGTTTTGAGTTTACTAGGAGCTCGAAGCGATCGTGTTTGCTTCTATGGAGTATTGTTATCAATAGGGGTGAAGGGCGGACGGAGTGATATGATGTTCATAGCGATCCGATAGCATGAACCGAGTAAATACCGTTATCGAAATGATGTCAAATAAAATGATCGAACTCCCAGTATTATTATCAAATAGGTGAAAAATCCAATTGATGTGATCGGGAATAGGAGCCTTGGCAATTGGTCGAATATCGAGTGAGGATCCAAGGGTCATTTAAGCTATCAATGACAAATCCCTTACCAATTATCCATCGAAGACCAAGCATCTAAGACTTGTTTTTTTTTTAAGGACGGTCTACGCAAACCGTCGCTAAATTGACCATTTTTGTGAGGGGTTTTCAAACCCATCGCTAAATTTACGTGTTTTTTGCAACGGTTTGAAAAAGTATCACGAAGTTGTTAAAACCCTAAAATTGTAACAAAATTCACCATAGTCTATATAGACCATCGCTAAATTTTTATGAGCGAGGTTTTCAAACCCATCGTTAAATTTGCGTGTTTTTTGCGACGGTTTGAAAAAGTATCGCGAAGTTGTTAAAAACCCAAAATTGTAACAAAATTCATCGAGTCTATATAGAACATCGCGAATTCTTAGTTTTTAGAAACGATTTTCTAAACCGCAAATCTTATGTTTTGTTGAAGTGTTCCTTTTCCTCCCGATCTTCTATAGCTTTTGTAAAAATTTGAGAAAAAAACCAATCCATGCCATTAGAGGTGTTGTCATTTTGTGACTTCCACAATCTCAAGCACATGAAACAAGCAAGTTTTACGACACAAAATATATCACTCGCCGACTAATTTGGATGAGTAAGGCTTTCCACCATTCCGAAATAAAGAAAAAGGAAAAACATCTACTTATAGTTAGAAAAGGAAGAAAAGCACACTTGTCTCACCTTTGGACATCCTACAAAAAGATGAAATTGAGATTCAGCCTCAACTTCACAAGTCTTACACACGACTGGAATGGAAGGTATTTTGTGGTGTAAGTGAGAGTTAACCGCCAAAGTATATATTGCAATGAGCTATCCGGATAAAGGTTTTAAGTTTACTAGGAGCCCGAAGCGATCATGTTTGCTTCTATAGAGGATTGTTATCAATGGGGGTGAAGGGCGGATGGAGTAATATGATGTTCATAGCGATCTGCATAGCTCGAACCGAGTAAATACCATTATCGAAGCGATGCTAAATAAAATGATCCAACTCCTAGTATTATTATCAAATAGGTGAAAAATCCAATTGATATGATCGGGAATAGGAGCCTTGGCAATTGGTCGAATATCGAGTGAGGATCCAAGGGTCATTTAAGCTATCGATGACAAATCCCTTACCAATTATTCATCAAAGACCAAGCATCTAGGACTTGTTTTTTTTTAGGACGATCTGCACAAACCGTCGCTAAATTGACCATTTTTGTGAGGGGGTTTTCAAACCCATCGCTAAATTTACGTGTTTTTTGCAACGATTTGAAAAAGTATCACGAAGTTGTTAAAACCCCAAAATTGTAATGAAATTCACCGAGTCTATATAGACCATTGCTAAATTTTTGTGAGCGGGTTTTCAAACCCATCGCTAAATTTGCGTGTTTTTTGCGACGATTTGAAAAAGTATCGCGAAGTTGTTAAAAACCCAAAATTGTAACAAAATTCATCGAGTCTATATAGAACATCGCGAATTCTTGGTTTTTAGAAACGATTTTCTAAACCGTAAATCTTATGTTTTGTTGAAGTGTTCCTTTTCCTCTTGATCTTCTATAGCTTTTGTAAGAATTTGAGGAAAAACCAATCCATGCCATTAAAGGTGTTGTCATTTTGTGACTTCCACAATCTCAAGCACATGGAACAAGTAAGTTTCACGACACAAAATATATAACTCGCCGACTAATTTGGATGAGTAAGGCTTTCCACTATTTTGAAAACAAAGAAAAAGGGAAAACATCTACTTGTAGTTAGAAAAGGAAGAAAAGCCACACTTGTCTCGCCTTTGGACATCCTACAAAAAGATGAAACCGAGATTTAGCCTCAATTTCACAAGTCTTACACACAACTGGAATGGAAGGTATTTTGTGGTGTAAGTGAGAGTAAACCGCCAAAGTATATATTGCAATGAGCTATCCGGATAAAGGTTTTGAGTTTACTAGGAGTCCGAAGCGACCATGTTTGCTTCTATAGAGGATTGTTATCAATAGGGGTGAAGGGGGGATGGAGTGATATGATGTTCATAGCGATCCGTTAGCTCGAACCGAGTAAATACCATTATCGAAATGATGCTAAATAAAATGATCCAACTCCCAGTATTATTATTAAATAGGTGAAAAATTCAATTGATGTGATTAGGAATAGGAGCCTTGGCAATTGGTCGAATATCGAGTGAGAATCCAAGGGTCATTTAAGCTATCAATGACAAATCCCTTACCAATTATCCATCAAAGACCAACGTCTAGAACTTGTTCCTCCATCTAGGACTTTTTTTTTCTTATATAATTATTTTATATATAATAACGATATAATATGATGTTGCAAAAAGTGTCGGCACTTTTTCTTAGTGGGAAGAAAGTAAGCCCATTAGGGCTGATTAGTGGATCGAGAAGTACGCATTTGAAAATGATATTACTGTTTATTTTTCACTTGCCTGATTGCGCAAAGGTGTGTTTAGAATTGTGCCCAAAGATGCTTTTAATCTCAAATCATTGTGATTCCTGAAGACAAAAACTCTAGACACTCGCTCCTCTAAAAACATTTACAATATACAAACGGTGTTTACGGTTAGAGGTCGGTCTCAGTCGGATTATTTTTGATATATTCGAAACTAAATTCATCATTCTAATCTGATAAAAGATAAGCTATCCACGCCCATACTAGACAATGCATGAGAATTTTAAAATAACTCTCAGCAACACATAATCACACACTGTTCTACAGCCATAGTGAAACCAATAATAGCAGTACAACCAAAAAGTTAAGCTAATATCATTACCCATATCCACCTTCTCTCTTAATTCATAAAAAAAATGTGTACCTGAGCCTGAGGTATTAAAAAAAACAAAAAAGTTGCATTATGACCTTTATGTCATATCTCTTTAGAGACAAGACGTGACACAGACAATACTTATCATACTCCACTTGATTATATATTTTAACTTCCACTTAAGACCCCTATTCTTTACCGGGGACACCTGTGCTTTTGGCAGCAAGTTCTGTTGCGTGTGTGGTGGAATTTCTAGGTTTTGACTAGTTAAAAAAAAAAGCCAAATCACATGCTGAAGTTGGTAGCTTGTGAAGGTCATTTTACTCTGCTAAGATGAAGTGGTGGAATTTCTATTTCATTGGAAAGGAAATGACAACACATTTGACTTGCCAGCAATTGTCTAAACATGCATCTGAGTCAAGTCTACTAGCTTCAACCAAACTGCAACAATGGACTTAGTTGTATCTCATATTATTTTCTGCCACCTCCATGTTTGCTTCAAAATAATTCAAGTTAATTTAATAACTGGAATTGGTTTGATCAATTTTCTACAATTGATGATTTAAAGAATGGATATAATCAAGGGCTTGATATATGCTAAAAAAAAAAAATGGCAACCTCAAGAAAGCAACCTGAAATATCTAAATGATTACCATCAATATGCTATGATCAAATGTTATAATCTAATTAAACCACTAACTTGTTTCATTCTATAAATAATTGAAATGCCCAATATGATTTAAACAGTAGACCATTCTTTTTCACATGGGATCAAATGAACCACCAAATAAAGCGAGTTCTTACCATTTTAGCTTGTAAAAGTTTTGCTACTTCTGCTATACAAGTAAAAAAGTTGAACAATAACGACAACATAATTCTGCATGCAATGTTTGATTTGGATCAGAGAGATCCAGACTAGAAGCAGATCTTATGTCCTCTTCCATGCTTAGTATAACATACTACATGACTGTACTTCAAAAAATGGAAAGCAATTTTTAATAAGTACTAAAAATTACTGAGAACAAAAAAATTTCCTGGAACAACAGAAATAGGAATCATGGTACTCCGGAAAATTTCCAAGCTGTGTAGTGTAATAGGTCTAGGAGAGTAGAAGCTAAAGGTAATGTGCTATACTAGATAGTGACCACCGCACCAAGTTTGTAATGAAAAACTAACATAGCTTAGATTCTAACAAAGAATGAGGCCTTAGCTGAAACTTCAGCATCAAGGTTCAATTCTCAGAGCAATTTTATATAGACTGTTTTCTGGCATGTAGATTGAAGTTGAATTCTTTTTCCATCTGCAAAACGAAACCTATTTACATTGGTTTTGTTTAAGCTTTGTAGACAAAGCTACCCTAGCTATGAGGCGCTTCAGTCTGCCAGCTCCAGGACCTGGTTTAATTTTTTCCAGGTCCCCAACCTCAGAACATTTGGGATTTCCAGAACACCATCCACCAGGAGTGAAGCTCCCATTCTTCCGGCGAAGTAAATCTTTGTCAATCTTATCCAAGACAGGGTCATCTCTTTTGAATTTTCTGGCGAAGGCAGCACCACTTGCAATCATCTGGTTTGTGTCATTGAGGGTAAGGATGTGAGGATGCTGCTTAGGAGGATTGTCCCAAGCAATGTAGTGCAAGTCATGACCGACTGCTGTTTGAGCATACTCTGGCACATTGCATATTACTGTGTGAAAGTATCCTTCAGGTGAGGAAACAAAGTTTGAGTAATACATCAATAAGGTTCTTGGCAGATTATCCCAACCCCAAATTAAGTACTCAACAAATGAGCGTGTGAGAACCATCCATGCCGAACCTGCAGAAACAAATGGAATCCATTTATAAAGTTTACTGAGTTCAGAACAGCAGGTCTTCATAGTTCCTAGCATTTTTTGTGTTTCAGTTGCAAAGTACATGCCGGAAGCCATTGAAATCTAACTGAAAAAAAAAAGCTGAAAAATAAACTGAAAAATTCAGGACTTCAGTTTTCAGTAAAGCTGAAAAATATACAATAACTGACTAGACTAAATAACATCAGTTGTTAAATAGAGCAGGAAAAAAAAAGCATAAAACATAAAACATAATGATATAGCCAGCCTCTGAAAGAGATAAATCCTGCAGTTACGAAATAAACACCTAATGCAGCAAAACAAGGAGCATTTAGCTCTTTCAGTTTCTAAAAATCACATGCTGAAGAACATAGACAAGGAAACTCATGTCATGAAACTACAAACTTGTTAGTTACTAAAGTACTTTCACCCTCCATCCATATCTAATAAAAACCCAGGAAAAAAAAAATTAGTTACCAGTTGAAATTTGCAAATTGCAATTGCCAGTAGATGGACTTCAACTATATCAAAAAAACAGAGATTGCCAATAAATTTATTTAGAAACAGAGTAAAGCTCCAACAGATTTGTTAAAAGAACCACAGATTTCAGCAATTGAAATGATAAACGACATGTTAATATGAATACTAACCAGTGAATAATTTAAATGCTGTTGGCAGAGGTCTACGCGGCGTCGCCCAGTATATATCTGCTTTAGTTTTGGAGTAGAGCCCAGGGTCTACAATCAAAGGCATCGCTCGTTTATCCCTAAACACCACATCAGATATCGGATCACTCACTAGAAACAGATTCTAAATCTATGTGAGGGAGAGCGAGAGTGCTTACGCTTTCCACCCCAATTGACTTGTGTGCTCAATAAAGTTCAGATTTCGATTTATGGTTGAAAATGTGTGAATAAGATCTGCATATTAAAAGCAAAATAATCAGATAGATATTTGAAGGCAAACATTCACTATGAACTTCCTTTCTCAAATAATCAGAAAAAAAAAAAACAAAACAGGGTTTCATATACTATCCAAAACACAGACTAACCATCTTGAGTGACAAGAGGATAATCAGAAGCACTGAGGTTGATAAACCAATCCCAATCTTTTCCCATTTTGAGGAGAATTGCGCAAGCATGAAGTGTGTTAGCAACCATGGTGGGTCCTTTGTAGGTAACCATATTGGCTTTGCTGATCATGTAAACATTTCCAACCTTGGAGAAAATCGGATGCTTTTCCACTCTTGATGCAAGCTCCAATCTCTCCTCTGCAGGAGACTCAAGGTCCAGATGAACAACATATTGGTTCCGGGGATGGTAAAGCGAATGAAGGGTTCTCCAAAGCTTTTCCAAATCGCCTTTAGACCCGGAAACCAGATAAGCAAATCGGGGAATTTTGGAAGGGAGAGGAGGGGAAGGAGATTGTGAGACTTTCATTTCAGCATAACCTTCGGTTGTCTGGTTGGTACGAAAAGGGAAAATGTTGAAGATTTGATTGATTGTGTGCAATGAAGAAACAAGACCCATGTTGAAACAAGTTGCTAAAAGAAATAGACATATGAGGGAGCTTATGACAAGAGGGAAAACCCATTTCTTCTCCACATTCAGGGACCCCATTGAAAGACCTTATCATGGGTTCTGGTGAATGATCCTCACATCCCAAATTGGGATTCCCAAATTGTGCTTGCTCACTCAACAGAAACAAGAAACTGGTATTATGCCGGATACCAGAATAGGAATTTTCCCCCAAAAAAATTCCAAAACTTGAAGTTTAACTAATCTAAGCTGCCAAATCAACAAAAAACAACAGAGCAATCCATTAGAATCACCTTGTCAATATCAACTCCCAGTTAACAAAGAAACTGAAGCATGTGTAAACCAATAAAAAAAGTACACAACATGAATCAAATGATATAGAAATAAAATATACTACCACCACATAGACAAAGGAAGAGAAAAAAACAATAAATATATATTTATATATATACACCAAAACCATAAGAGACAGAAATGATGCATCAATAAAATCGACCAAAGATCAACAAGTAAATCAAACAAAAGGTAAACAATTAGCTAAAAATTCTTCATTTTTTAATCAGGTGCATAAATTATCAAGAAAGTCATTGACAACTAAAATGTTTTTTTTTTAATTAGCTCTCTAGAATGCTAAAATCTTGGCAAGCAATCTCACTACAGATCCTAAATCCAAGAAAAACAGACTTGATTCACATTCGACAGCCAAGTCAACTTCAATGAAACCATCAATGAAAAAGAAACCACTCCAATTATTTTGTATCATAAATACCACATCAATTCTAACATCATTCATTCATTCATTCATTCATTCATTATTATTATTATTATTATTTATGTATAAAAAAAAAGAGAGATCAAAAAATAAGATGCAAGACCCAAAAGAGGGAATCAAGATTTGCACCATTGAATAAAAAAAAATTGTAAGAGACAGAAAGAATTGCTTAAAGGGCAGAGCATGGCTGATGGCACACACAAACACAGCTGGACCAATACAAGGAAAAGTAAAGAAGACATAAACAAGAACAAGAAAGAAAACAATAAATCATTAGTTTGTTATTGAAGAAATCAAGAAATAGAATAAACCTCTTATAGAGAGAGAACTCCAAGAGCGTACTTTCGTTTTGTTTTTATGCGTTTTCAAGAGAGACAACAAAGTGAGAGAGACAGAGAGAAGAGAGACTGCCCATATTTATAAGTCAATCATGAAATACATAAACAAAATATAAGATTTAGAGAGAGGAACATTAAAAAATTAGGTTTTTTTCCTTCTTTTTTTTTTTTTAATTTTTTGAGAGGACGAGAAGTGGATCGTTGTGTTTCTTTAACACTTCCATAATAATAACAATAATAAATAATCCATAGTTTAAAAAAAATACTCTATTTTTGAATTTTTTAAAATTAATATGTAAAGAAATTTATTAAATTACTTTAAAAGTATCAATTCAATTTTGGATGTGTTTTTATAATCATTTGAAAAAAAAAAAAAAAACTTAATTTCTATCGATAACTGGTCCAATGTTATATTTACCATCGAATATAAATAATATAATAATAAATTTGTATAATTTTTAATGTTAATTATGTAACTTTTCAGAAAGTTTCAATATAACCCCTAAGTTCTATAAAGAATTAGGTTTTTTTACCTCCCTAAAGCTTTGGAATTTCAGTTATACTGGAAGATTTGACCCAATATAGAGAAGGCCAAAAAAAAAAAAAAACACATGGGAAAACTAACAACTGTTTCTTTCTTATAGGTCTGGTTATTGTCGTTTTAAGTTGATTTGTTTTTTTTAAAGTAATTCTTTATAGGATCAGTTTTCTGTTTTGATTTAATAAGGCAATATGTTTATGTAAATGTGTCTGTGCTGTCGCTGTGGGTTTAATAAATCATTAAGAGATAGCTAGATAAATGAATCTGACTTTTTTTTCTTTTTTTTTAACAAAAATAATGAATGTGACATTTGGTGATCAAATGCATTTTGATTAATGTTACATTAATTGGAGAATTCGATTCGATTAGATACTAACGAAATTTATTTGAGATTAGTAATAAGATTTTCATAAAAAATCTAAATTGAAGAAAACATAAAATAGAATCTAAATTTTAAATTTATGTATAATCCTTGAATTATAAGATAAAAATCCACACATTATATTAAAAAAAAATTATAATTCGAGAAAAAATATAAGTAGTTAAAAAAAAAAATCAGACCAAATGATAGACGAGTGAATCATTCATCCACCTCTATATCCAAATCAAGTCAAATTAGATTGGATAGCTCTAAACATCAATGAATTGAGTGAAATTATCATCTTTAAACTATAACTTGAAAGATTCATCTAGAGCATACACTTGCATTAGGTTTGTTCATGTTGCAAACAAAATTAGTTTTTTCTTTTTTCCTAAATTGGAAAAAGCCTTGGATAACATTTATTATTGGTGATCTGTTCAAAATTTTTATCTTTTGTGATCTCATGAAGAATGGAATCTCGAGAGATAGGCTATAAGATAATAAAGGAGATTTGTTCTCTCGTTTAACTTTATGAGCTGGAATCCTTGTATTAGCACTCAGATAAATACTAGATCGATGTGAGAGACCAATCTTTCTATTTGAAAAGAAGGTTAATAGAGAGAAAGGGAAGGAGAACGAAGGAAAATTAATTAATTAACCTTGTTTATATTCTCCATTCATAAAATAAATAAAAAATACAGAGTTGTAATTATAATATAATATCTAATAGTAGTTAATAAACAATGCAAAAATAAATACTGAGCTCATATAAATATTAAATTTTACAATAAATTTGAAATATATAGTTAAATATAAATAATTAAAAGGTAAACTCAATAACAAATTTATTTTAAAAGATCATTTTTTTAATTGGGTTGGGAAATAATTGGGGGTGAGAGGTCTTGGTCCTTTTTCATCTTCTTTTTTAATTTTTGTATTATTTTATTATTAAAATTAGTTTTTAATTGTTTTTTCAATTCAAACGGAGTTTACTATGTTGTAAGACTTACAATACCACGTGTCAATCACCGATAAATAAAATCTAATGGTAAAGTACTAGATTAAAAATAAATGATGTCATGACAAAATGTTTCAAATAAAAAATTTGAAAAGCAAAAGATCTCAATTAAGTCAAATATATGTATATATATAAAAGATTTCAATAAAAAAATTCAAAAAATATATACATGGTTCATATATATAGGGAAAAAAAACCTATGTTTATCATAGCATTCATACTTGATTAAGTTAGTGGGTGCTTATTGCTTTCGTTTTGCATCACTAGGTTTAAAAATTTATTGGTTACATAATTTTTATATGGAAATTTACTATCTATATATTAATAAAAATCTACCTTAATTTGAACAAAAAATATTAATTATATAATCTTGCAAATTAACAGAATTTTTCTTGAAATGCCAAATATTAAGTAAAGCTTGAATTAAAACCTACAACAACGTATTATAAAAGTATGAAAATTTGTTACCTCAAAATAATCCATAATCTATAATCATAATATATTACTAATACTATTAAGTAAATTCAACCCCATCTCTAATTAAGAAAATACCAATCTTGATAATATTATTAAAAAATTATTAATTCCTTAAAAATAGGCTATTTTTAAGAAAGAATCTTAAAATATAGGTTAATCCCGTTTTTTCATTATTTTCTTATTTATACACCAAATAAAATCATAAATAACATAAAATAAGATAAATAAATCACTCCTCAACTATATAGTATTATATTGTTACTTTATTTTAACTACCACAACCCTAAAAAGAAAAAACTTAAAAACAAGCAAATAACAAAAATAAAGTATTAAAATCACAAAATAATCAATTACATCAAAATTCATCAAATTATTAAATTAAATCCTTAGTTAATTTATTATTTTTTATTTTTTGTTATTTTCTTACATTATTTTTTACTCTTTTGGAAAAACATTGATAATATAAAAAATTATAATATTTTTTAAAATAATTTATAAAAATGTTTACTCATGTATTTGTCGTTAATTTATATTCATGTCACATATGATTAAAAATAACTATTTAAAATAAATAAGATTCATATTAATATAACCTTAACTGAATTTTAATAATAATAATAATAAATATATATTTATGCTAACCGGTAATTACTTAATTTTTGAAAGATAATTCAATGTAGGTCCCTAATTTTACTATAGTGTAGTTAAAATTTATTTTATATGGTTAAAAAAAATTAAACAAATTAATTTAATAATAATAATCAAAACTTACATAAAATTAATTGAAAAAAAAATATGTTTGTTTTAATAAACATTCAAATTTATTCATTTATAGATAATTCTAGACAATATATTTAAAAATTAGAAAACGTACTATATGTTTTTAAATAATACACGTATGAATCACGTGTCAAGAAACAAGTATATAAAGATTGTCAAAGGTAAAACAATCTACTTACCGGATTTGAAATAATTGTGAATTTGGAATGAAACCAACTTTTAATTAGGTGTGGTTTGATTTAACGTATATGTCTAATTGAACACATGATTGTATTTTTCACAAGAAAAAAAATTGCATGAAATATGTCACATGGTGAATGGTGGTATCCGTCGAAACCAATAACAATGAATCCTGCTTTTAAGTTCAAAAGTTGAGTTACTTTTCATAAATTAAATAAGTTTAAATTATTCTTGCTTTTCGTATTTATTAGAGTATCTTGAGTTTGCAATAAGTCTAAAGATGGATTTGTTTTTGAAAAAAATATTATTCAAATTCACTCTAATTTAAAGTAAGTTTCTCAACCTTTTCGAGAAGGTATTTATAAAACGAATTATATGATTTAAACCATCAATTATAGAAGAATTTGATATTTGTACGTGTAACGAATCCTTAC